AGTCACCTGAGAGGAGCCAGAGGTGGCAGGAGCTGCTCCAGAGGGTGGGGATTCCTTCCCAGCTTCCCATGGAATGAGGGCTTTTCCTTGGGATCAGGGCTGATCCTAAGGGAGGAGGACGGAGCAGAACATCCCAAAGCTGCTCCATCCCTGGGAGTGTCCTGGGATAGAGGGAGGTGTCCCTGCCATGGAAAAGGTGGGATCTGATGGGATTTAAGGCTCCTCCCAACCCAAACCAGTCTGGGATTGCCAACTTGAGGCATCCCAGGGTTCCAGGAGCTGGTTTGGACTGGGTATTGGGCAGGAGTTCTTCCCTCTCCACCCCTGAATCCCTGGGAGTGTCCTGGAGCAGCCTGGGATAGAGGGAAGTGTCCCTGCCCATGGAAAAGATGGGATCAGATGAGGTTTAAAGTCCCTTCCTACCCAAGGCATTTTAGGATTTCAGGATTCCAGGTGCTGGTTTGGGCTGGATGTCATGAAGGAATTCTTCCCTCTCTGCCCCTGGATCCCTGGAATTGTCCTGGCAGCAGCCTGGGATAGCAGGAGATGTCCCTGCCCATGGAAAGGGGGGGATCTGATGGGATTTAAGGTCCCTCCCAGCCCGAGGCATTCCAGGATTCCAGGAGCTGGTTTGGAAGGATATTTTGGGCTGGATATTGGGCAGGAATTCTTCCCTCTCTGCCCCTGGATCCCTGCAAGTGTCCCAAGCCAGGCTTGGATCATCCCTGGTGTTAGACCCTGCAGCTTTGGGATGATCTGCAGCTCCAATTCCCTTTCCTCAGGAATTCCCTCTGGACAGGGATTTTTCCTGCATTTTTCCCACCATGTCTCAAACACAGGGAAGAGGATAAAAGGGATCAAAAGGAGAGGATAAAAGGATCAAAAGAAGAGGATAAAAGTATCAAAAGGAGAGGATAAAAGGATCAAAAGGAGAGGATAAAAGGATCAAAAGGAGAGGATAAAAGGATCAAAAGAGGATGAAAACACTGCTGGGCTTTACCTGCAGGGCGGGGCAGAAGTTGGAGGTGTCGTTGGGGTTGTTGTAGTCGTAGTCCTCAATCCCAGCCTCGTTATCCAAGGTACCGGTCCCAAGCGACTCCAAACTCTGGCTGAGCTGCAGGGACAGGAAAATCCTCAAAATTCCTGCAGCAAATGCTGGGCCTGTGCCTTTGTCCCCTTTTCCCCTTCGAGGTGACACCACAAAATCGCCAGCCCTGAGGGACGTCCCAAAACACTCCCAGAGCATGGAGAAAAGGAGGTTTTGTGCCTGGAATGATTCCCTGGGTGTATCCCCAACAAGCTTTCAGGGCAAGGAATAATTCTTCACCCACCCTGGAGAAAAGGGATTTTGTGCCTGGAATGATTCTCTTATTCCCAGCAGGTTTTTAGGGCAGGAAATAATTTGTCACTTTGGAGAAAAGGAGGTTTTGTGCCAGGAATGATTCCCAGCAGGTTTTTAGGGCAAGGGATAATTCCTCATTTTGAAGAAAATGAGATTTTGTGCCTGGAATTTGTATTCCCAGCAGGCTTTAGGGCAAGGAACAATTCCTCACCTTGGAAAAAAGGAGATTTTGTGGCTGGAATTTTATTCCCAGCAGGATTTTAGGGCAAGGAATAATTCCTCACCTTAACCTTGACCTTGAGGAAGAGCTGCAGGATGTTCTGGGGGTCATAGTTGAAGTCTGCAGGGAGTGTGGTGCTCCTGGCCTTCTGGTTCTCCAGGGTGGATTTGGCCAGAGTTATGGATGCCTGAGGAAAGGAATGGAAAATGGACATGGAAAAAAGATCCAGCCATGGAAAAATATCATTTTCTGACAAAAATCATGGGTGTAATCCAGGGAGAGGCTGGGAAAATCTGGGGAACCCCAGAAAATCTGGGGGGGTTGGGGAAAATCCCGGGGGAGCTCGGAAAATCCGGGGGAGCTCAGAAAATCTGGGGGATCCCAGAAAATGTAGGGAATTGCAGGAAAAGGGGGAGCAGGACGGGGCAGGGGCACAGCAGCACCTTGGTCTTACGGAAATGGGACTCAAAGTCAATGTCCTCCTCAAAGTCCAGCCGGAAAACCTTCCGGGGATTCTTCTTCCTGGAATTCTGCTCTGAGCCCATGGTAGCTGGGGGGAATGGGGAAAAGGGGAAATGTGGAAAAGGAAAGGAGCCATCACTGCCTTGGGACAGGGCAAGGACAGACAGCTCATTCCCAACCAGAGCATCCCAACCAGGCAGAGGTCACCTACGAGGATTTCCGCCCTTTTTATGGGAAAGCAGCCAGTGTCGCTCTCAGCTTTGTGCTCTAAAGGAATCAGTGGCTTTTTGGGGAGCAAAAAGTCTGAGTGAGACTTAGATGGGATGTGGGGGAGGAATTCCTCCCTGTGAGARSAGTGAGGGAATTCCCAGAGGAGCTGCSCCATCCCTGGAAGTRTCCAAGGCCAGGCTGGAGCAGCCTGGGATCATGGGATGGGACCCTGGATRGGCTCTGAGGTCCCTCTCACCCCAGAATTTCCCAATTCCCTCCTGGTGGGATGGGACCCTGGATGAGCTCTGAGGTCTCTCCTAACCCTGAATTCCCTGATTCCCTCTGGAGCCACTCTCCCGGACACTCAGGCCTGTCTCTGGACACG